TTTTTTTTTTTTTTTTTTTTTTTTTTTTTTTTTTTCTTCTTCTTTTTTTCTCCCTATGGTGTTGATATTCTGAACCTGAAGAATTCCTTTTTGCAATTAGGTTATTAGAATGGTTGGTGAGAGCGCTGAGACCATTGGTGCTGGTGTTGGAGGTGGAAGCTCGGGGAGCAAAATGCCTACACTGGAGGAGTTTGGTACCAATTTGACAATGTTGGCTGAGGAGGTAGGAATCTTCCGATTCCTCATATATAATGTTAAGTTTTACCACGGAATTAACTACAAAAGTACCTGCAGTTCAGTTACAAGAAAATCCATTTATCATGTTACCATAATATTTATCTCTTTCGATATTTGTTCATATTTTAACTGGTTGCACCCCCAACAACAACATAGCCTTTAGACCCAAGCAAGTCGGGGTAGGCTATTGGTTGCACCCCCAAGAGCAGGATTTATTTTATATAAAAGCTACTAAGGTTTGAGATAATTTACAAAAACACCTTACCGACTGTTTGAGTTTGAAAAACGACACCTGAAAATTGGTTTTGACCCTCCACTAGTTGATGATCGAAATCCCTAATACCTAATATGATTGAATATTTTCAATTAAACCCTCACTTCTCTAAATATTGCTACTAGCCCCAATCTTTTAATACTCAGAATAGTTGAGTTGAAGATGCTTTTGTAAAACATAAGATTAAAAGTTGAGTTGTGCTATTCAGGAAACTTGAATGATGTAATTGTAAAATGTATTTTTATTCTAATTAGGCCGAACCTCAAAGCTGTTTTTTTAATACTATTTCTCACTTTCTGAAACGGCACAAAACTCATGGGTGTGTTATTACTACATCGCTTGTGCAATTGCAATTTTGAGATAAGTGGAAAATTCTGTACCTAAGCAAAACTTTAAGGTTTTTAGTTTGTAATCTGCCCCTGCCCTTTTATTTATGAGGCCTAATCGTCGTTGTTGTTCTTGTTTATTTTAGGGCAAGCTAGACCCTGTTGTTGGGAGGGCAGAGCAAGTAGAACGTGTAACTCAAATTTTGGGAAGGCGTACTAAAAATAATCCTTGCCTCATTGGGGAACCTGGAGTTGGGAAAACAGCAATTGCAGAGGGTCTTGCCCAGAGAATAGCCAATGGGGATGTTCCAGAGACGATTGAGGGGAAAAAGGTGAGATATTATGACAACTTTATGATAAGAAAAATTGAAATTGGTTTGACCTTGAAAGGTCCTGGATTGATAATATCTACACAATTAAAACATTGATTTTTTATAATATAGAGAATTTGGTAGTTCCTTTGAGCAATTTGTACAATCAGGACTTCATCTTTTAAAAGCTGGGTTCAACTGGTTTAACCAGGGAGTGATGTGAACCTGACTGTCTGATTACACCTCGACAACCACTTTTCGTTACTGGTTTTATATTTATATATTTATATGTGTATTCTAAATTTTAAGGAACTACATATTTTTTTTCACACTCAAAATATCATTTTAGGTTTTCTATGGTAGATTTTTCAATCGTCCATAATTTTTCCAGTTGTTTTTTAAATAATATATAGTAGGTAATAAAATAATGTTTCGCATTATTTTTTCTACAACATAATAAATTATATAATTAATATTCATTGCACCGGTTAACAAAAACTTGAACTTCTTGTATGCTCAGCATTTAGTTTTGAAACATTAATTCTTACCACAACAGACATAAGCATGTCTACAGTTTATGCTCAATTGGGTTATCTTCTCTAGGCATGGGCAGGCGAAATATTATAATGCCAATTTAGAGCTATACTGCTCGAGTAGCAAAACCAAATCCAAAGTTAGTTAGGCTTTGACTTGTTTAAGTTGTTTGCTGCTTTTCTATGTCACCATTGCTATTCAGTGTCATTCTTCTAATGATTCCTAAAAAAGTAGTAAATTTACTTTAATTTGTAATACTTTCAGGTTATAACTTTGGATATGGGCCGTCTTGTTGCTGGTACAAAGTATCGTGGTGAGTTTGAAGAAAGGTTGAAGAAACTGATGGAGGAAATTAAGCAAAGTGATGACATTATACTCTTCATTGATGAGGTGCACACGTTGATTGGAGCAGGAGCTGCTGAAGGGGCAATTGATGCTGCAAATATTTTGAAGCCTGCTTTAGCCCGGGGTGAATTACAGGTTTACTTCAAATTTATATAACCATAATTCTGTAAATATGCTCCAAGTTTAATCAATGTCATTGTTGAGATTCTTAATAATGCACCCTTCTATGGTATTGTTCTTTTCTCAGCTTTCTGTTTTGATTTTACAGCATATGTTTGAATATAATTAAACTCGTAGAGGTTTTTTGCACAATGATCATGGTTTTTTAAGTGGGTTTAATACTGATCTTATTGTTCGTTCAACTAAGTCTATTGTCTCATTGATCCTTTTTTATACTTTTGGATAACTTCACAATCACCTGTTAGGCTTGATCAAGTTCCAATAATATCCAGCTAAACCTGAAAACTATTAGAAGAGCATACATTTTGTTCCTAGAGCTAACAAGAATTGCTGATGCCATCACATATATTAAGTTGCTTAACTTCTCCAAGCATTTGCAAATAACCCTTGCTCTTGCATTTAGCATGCACACCCCAATTTATTCAAGATGATACAAATTGCCGCTTGTAAAATTGGGCAAAATGTTATAGTTTGAAAAGCTGGCGTGTAAGGAAAATATTTGATGTTAGGAAAAAGTTTGTGTTACATCAACTCAACAGATGCCTAAGTTAAACTGAACCAAACCTCTATGGTGGTTTCTTTTGCAAGTTTCAATTTTAGTTTTTCACCTGCATGTGGTGTACTTGAACAGTGTATTGGGGCAACTACACTTGATGAGTACCGAAAGCACATTGAGAAAGATCCAGCACTAGAAAGAAGGTTTCAACCCGTGAAGGTCCCCGAGCCCACTGTTGAGGAAGCCATTCAGATTCTTAGAGGGTTACGTGAACGATATGAGATACACCACAAACTCCGTTACACTGATGAAGCTATAGTTGCTGCTGCAGAATTGTCCCATCAATATATCAGGTAGTGATTTATTAATAATCATGGTTATCAGACATCCTCTGGTACATGGCTGTGAAGTGTATTTATTGAAGACTTTGTTATATGTGATTCTTGTTAGATGAATTGATCTTTCGCGAATTCATTCATCAGGATATTTTCTAAAACTGCTGTTTAGGTTTGTCTACATACAAAATATTTTTCCTCCAGTCATTTGATGGGGAATTGTAAAACAGAAAGGAAGTTCATGGGGGTAGTTACTAGTGCCTCAGCCTTATGGGTTATTTCTAAGTTCAAAATTTAAATTTTTGTAATTACAGTATCACCTTGCTTACCAAAAATTGCACCTAATATGGGGAGAGTGTAAAAAACAGTAACAGAGTTCTGAGAGGTAACTGCGAAGCCTCGAGGAATATTTTGTTATTTTAAAACCTAAGTTGACTTCTGTACTAAAGACTGTACCTCAGGTTTATTTTTGTAATTTTACCCTTCATTGTGTCAGTAGTTTTTTCCAGTCCTAAATTAGATGTAAATGTTCTGAAATGCCAAATGTCAGCCTTTTTAACACTATCTTTGCATTGTGTTAGTGACCGGTTTTTGCCAGACAAAGCAATTGACCTGATTGATGAAGCTGGTTCCCGAGTCCGCCTTCATCATGCGCAGGTTTGATTTGGTTCCTTCAATTGCCACTATATTTTTCAGTGTGATCTTTGGTGATAACTTGTGTCCTCTGCTGCAGCTTCCTGAGGAAGCTAAAGAACTTGAAAGAGAGCTCAGGCAGATAACAACGGAGAAGAATGAAGCCGTTCGAAGTCAAGACTTTGAGAAGGTAAGCTAAATGGCCATCCTCCGGTATCTTTGCCAATGTAACTGATAGCTAATAAAACTTGGAAACTTTAAACCACCATCACTGTTGAAAGACTGAAGAAAGAAGTTTATAAAGTATAAATGAAGAAAACCAGAAGTGTTTGAAAAATACAAACGAACTCCTGATGGTTGATTCTGTGTTGAAAGTATTGTTTTACACATATAACGGGCCTTTTGAATTGTTTTTGCTTATGAATGGAGTAAAATGTATTATAGAATCACACCAGAAGACTGTTCTTTAGCCGCAAATTCTCCCTCCTTTTAGGCCCAAACTTTAATTTCTTTTTGATAATAATCCGTTGCAAAATCATCCTACCGTATATCCTTATTACCGAAAGAGCACCAGTTACAATTTCACCCTTAAGCTATCTATCACAAACACTTTACAAACTATGCCCTGGATTTATACAAATTTACACAAAAGAAACATATTGTGTAAATGTAACATCATAGAATAACCAATGTCTTTTAAAAATCGCGCTAAACCACCTCAGAGCATAATTCCATGTGTAGCCATCTCGTTTTTCCAATCGAGCAAATTGCAATTTTAGTCCTTTATGTTTCACTACCCTAACTTTTCGTCCTTATCGAATTGCCTTTTTGATTTTCGTCCCAAAAAGGTTACAAAAAGGTCCTTTTCGCAACAAAAATGTCCCTTATGTTTCAAAAAAAAAAAGTTGCAATTTCATCCCTTATGTATGCTCGGGGACCTCTCTGTAACCTTTTTGCAAACATCAGCGACGAAAAATAAAAATCAATTCGAAGTTAGAGCTGTAAAACATACAGGACCAAAATTTCAATTTTACTCTTTCCAATTCAGTAACAACTCTAACAATGCTCACAAAATCCTTTCCAGGCCGGGGAGCTCCGCGACAAGGAGATGGACCTCCGGTCCCAGATGTCCGCCCTCGTGAGCAAGAACAAGGAGGCGACCCGCGCCGAGTCTGAGTCCGGCGACGGCGGCCCCACCGTCACGGAGGCCGACATCCACCGCATCGTCTCCTCCTGGACGGGCATCCCCGTCGACAAGGTCTCCTCCGAGGAGTCCTCCCGCCTCCTCCGCATGGAATCCACTCTCCACGGCCGCGTTGTCGGCCAGGACGAGGCTGTGGAAGCCATCTCCCGCGCCATCCGCCGCGCCCGCGTCGGCCTCAAGAACCCCAACCGCCCCATCGCCTCCTTCATCTTCTCCGGCCCCACCGGCGTCGGCAAATCCGAGCTCGCCAAGGCCCTCGCCGCCTACTATTTCGGCTCCGAGGACGCCATGGTACGACTCGACATGTCGGAGTTCATGGAGCGCCACACCGTATCGAAACTCATCGGCTCTCCACCTGGCTACGTGGGCTACTCCGAAGGCGGGCAGTTAACCGAGGCCGTGCGCCGGCGCCCCTACACGCTCGTACTCTTCGACGAGATCGAGAAGGCTCACCCGGACGTTTTCAATATGATGCTTCAAATTTTGGAGGACGGGCGTTTGACCGATGGCAAGGGCCGCACGGTTGACTTCAAGAACACGCTTCTGATCATGACGTCGAATATCGGGAGTAGTGTGATTCTCGAGAAGAGGAACAAGAAGCCCAAGCGAAGGTTTGGGTTTCAATTGGAGGAGGAGAAGGAGGAGGAGGAGGAGGATCGGAGTTATAAGAATATTAAGAAGTTGGTGATGGGGGAGCTGAAAGATCACTTTCGGCCAGAGTTTTTGAACAGGTTGGACGATATGATTGTGTTCAGGCAGCTGACGAAGGAGGAGGTGAAGGAGATTGGGGATATTATGTTGAAGGAGGTGGTTGTGAGGTTGAAGAAGAGGGATATCGAGCTTCAGGTGACGGATAGGTTTAGGGATCGGGTGGTGGAGGAAGGGTATAGTCCGAGCTATGGGGCGAGGCCGTTGAGGAGGGCTATTATGAGGCTGCTGGAGGATAGCATGGCCGAGAAGATGCTCGCGAGCGAGATCAAGGAGGGCGATTCCGTAATTGTCGATGTGGACTCCGATGGGGAAGTCGTGGTTCTGAGCGGTGCCGGTGCCGGTGCTGCCGCGTTTGAGGCGTCTCCTGATCTTGTGGTGGTGTAGATTTTGTTCTGTTTTAACCGATTTAGCCCTTTT